AATGGCCAAAGCATTCATCGCTTTCCACCCATTCATAGCATTACGTTATTTACGAATGAAATTCATTCACAAAAAAGTGATTTTCAAAACCAAAACAAAACTCATTTTGAAAGCAAAACTCTTGAGTGGAGTCGACCACAAACTGACCACAAGAATGGTTGAGCCACTGTTCCCATCGCTGACACCGCGCTATATGGACTCGCATTGGTTCCAAGTGGACAAACCTCTGGACGAAGAGTTGGAGCTGTCGTTGATGGAGAAGGAGCACTGCTCGCAGCTCTCGGAGATCAGTTCCCGAGACAACGACCTCTTGCCCACCGGTCAGACACACGAGTTCGGCGAAGAGGAGGAGGAGGACGACGACAACGAAGACGATGACGACGACGACGACGACAATGAGGACGACGACGAAGACGACGACCTCGAGGCCGACGAAATGAGCGGTCCATTCAATCCCGACTCACCGGTCGTTAATTCACCACATTTTTAATTATCACTCAAATTGTGGCCGCATTTCGCGCGTCATCTCATTTGTGGCCCTTTTCTGGACATTTGTTTGTCGTTAAGTCTCTCCGATAGATATAATCAATCACTAAATGATAATCATTTGCAGATTAATATTAATAGTCTGTTTTTCATGAAAATATAATAACTTTTTATTCAAATATTAAATTATTGTATATTAAAAGTATAAAAATTAATAAATTATTGCTTTAATTAAGTGTTTATATGATATTTAACCGGAATATTGCCTAAAATAGTATAAGAATATAAATAATTCAATAGAAAAATAGTATTGTTTGGAAAGAGTGGCCAAAGAAGTTAATCAACCAAAGGGTTTGGCAAGTCTTTAGTCCAGTCTTTGAGTGCATAGGTTCAGAACTCGGTATTGACCAGGACTTTAACAGACAACTACCTCTTCGGCCTGCTGGCATATTATCGCGTCAGAAGGTCTATAAACGGAGGTTACGGGAGGTTAACCCTCCTTTCCCACCGCATTAGTATAGTCTCCGCGCCTTCTTTTGATGTCTATTAATCATAACATAAAGAACTCAATAAATACAAGAAATCAATTGAAGTTTTAGACAAAAACAATTGAATACTGACTCTGAAGAGAGCTCTGGCCAGAGAGGGGACGATCTTAACCCACCAGACATTAGTGTAGAGCTCTGTTAAGGCGACGCCCGGATGGAGTGCATTGACGGACACGTATTGGCCGTACTGTTGATGAGTTGCGAACCAATGGTTAAGACTGAATGTGAACATAATTTGGCACAACTTTGACTGAGCGTACGAATGAAACGGACTGTAGATCTCTTCCGATTGCAAGTCATTCAGACACAGGTCTCGGGCGTAATGTGTCGATGAGCTCACGTTCACGACACGCGACCTCTGGCCGCACCGCTGGGCCGAAGCGGCCATCACTGGCATCAGTGCCCACACAAGCAAACAGTGGCCCAAATAGTTGACCTGAAAGTGAGACTCGAAGCCATCGTCGGTGAACTTCTTGGGCGCAAACATTATGGCCGCGTTGTTCACGAGATAATGCAATTCATTGACTCCCGAGGCGTGAAATTTCTTCACAAACTCTTCGACAGAAGTGAGTGAAATCAGATCCAATCGCCAGATCTCTAGTTTTCCGATCTTCTCATTGTTCACATTCTCTTCGCGTACTTTGGCTAAGATTTTGGCCACCAATTGGTCCACAATCTCCGGATTGGCTGAACTGGCAATTATCACATGACAGCCCTTCAGCAGCAAAACAATGGCCACTTCGAGACCAATACCTCGAGAGCCGCCCGTAATGATGGCCACTTTGCCATCCAATCGTTTGGGCAGATCCTTGTCATCTTGAGACAGATGGCGGACAGTGGAGACCAAATGGTACTTACGATTAAGCTCTTTGAGGACATAAACGGCGCCCAATATATACAGATGAATGGCTGTCCACAAGACATACACCACTTCCCGGAATGAGTGCAACGATAATATCATGTCGTGTCCACCGGTTTCGGTCACCGCAAAGGGAAACTGGTCTCGAGTTGAACGATAGGCAAAGATAATGTCAATATTGATGGCTACGAACGGGTGATTGAATCAAATCCAGTGCAAGACATTCATCCACGACATCACTACTGTTCACTAGTTGAAAAAAGAGTGAGAAGTGAAGTGTTTACGTAACGTTTGTGTATATTTTGGTATTTAATACAGTAAAATAAGTGGGCATATAGTTCAATACATTGTTTATTAAACGTTAAAAATCATTCAAACAAATTGTAAGACAAGTGTTTCGTTACAATTATATAATCGTCGAAAAACTTTTTATAAAAACTTGCTTTTCGTACAAAATATTAGTTTTAATTTACATATAAATTACACTTTAAGTTAAGTAGTGTTTTAATTGGCGGTTAGTTTTGTATTTGTTTTATTGTTAGTCTTAACGTACAGTATATGGCATTCAAACGATTAGTTTTGGGTAATATAAAAATATATATCGAGATTCTGTTTATGAGATTATATTAGAAAATATATATTGCATTCATCTTAAAGATCACATTCCGATTCCGGTTCGCCGGTCTTCATGTCTTGAAGCGGTTCCGAGTGTTTGCGTAGCGTTCGTCTCCTCCGACGGCTTCGGCGGCAATCAATCATACATTTTATCACAATTAATACGATTAGCATTAGACAGACAAACGAGACAATCATTATTATATTGGTGTCCAAAACCCAATCGTAGATACAATACTGGACGGGATTGAAGGCATCGGTAGTATTGGTCACATCGATGTGATAGTAATGCATATCGATGTCGATAGTGGACTGAAATATTGGTATTTCGCTCACATATACGCGGTCTCTGAGACTCGTCCTCCAGTTATGAGAGCATTGATGGCTAAAACCGGTGACAATACGACCCAATCTGTATGACTCAGTTGTGCGCAAACAGTTTTTGGCCGACAACTCGTTGAAGTCTTTTGTACGACAATATTCATAGAGACAATCCTTGCTCTCATTGCACAGCACTTCGAAGTACTTGACAAATACCACAACCGACTGATCCGACTGTATGTCAAAACCAAAGGACAGACTCATCTGATGGCCGGTTGTGTTGGCATTGAATTTGTAGACATGAGAGATGGGATTGATGTCTGAGTGTTGGCAAACAGTGAGCGTTGATTTGGACGCGTCGGGAGTGATGTCCGCGAATGTGTGGCCAATGAATGAGGTGTTGACCGGTTTGACAGCGACGGTGGCCCTGAAGTCAGACAATATACACGACATATACTTCTGGCGGTCGTAACCGATCCACTTGTCACTGATTGTGCCGTTTGTCTCATCGCCTAATACTGAACGCATGGATAATACGAATGCGAGTAATGGTATAAAATACATGTCCTTTGATATTGTGGGACCAAATGGGGTGACAATTAGGGGGCAAATAGTGGACAAATAGGGGATATATTAATAGCAGTAATACTGGGAATGCATTTGAATTTTCAAATTACTCTCACTTTTCACATAACGATTGAAATGTGATTTCAATTATCGCACAAACCATTCATTAAACACTTTAAACGTTTTGAATTAGAAATACATAACAAATATACTGTTGTNGGGGATATATTAATAGCAGTAATACTGGGAATGCATTTGAATTTTCAAATTACTCTCACTTTTCACATAACGATTGAAATGTGATTTCAATTATCGCACAAACCATTCATTAAACACTTTAAACGTTTTGAATTAGAAATACATAACAAATATACTGTTGTTTTCAAACATAACAAACAATATGTGAATTCATTTGATATGAATATCCGTAATAAATATGCGATTGATTTACAAGTAATTAATTAAATCATAAAAACAACAAAATATATGACAAAAAGATAACTGTTGTTTTCAAACATAACAAACAATATGTGAATTCATTTGATATGAATATCCGTAATAAATATGCGATTGATTTACAAGTAATTAATTAAATCATAAAAACAACAAAATATATGACAAAAAGATGTAAAATAAGCCCTAAAGGGGTTGAACTCGACGTATGACTGAACGCTGTTTTCGTGACGTAAGACAACTCTATTTGCATAGAAAAGCATTGGAATGTCGATCAGAAATACCATTCATTTTGTCCATAAAGTATGTCACGTAAGACAGGGTTCAAGTGTTATAACTTGTAAACAGTTAAGGGAAGCATAAAAGGGGGTCAAAGAAACAGCGTTCATATGAATGAAATAATCAAAACTTATGTGTTATACATAAAGACGAGATTTTCGGGAGTAAAAACATCCAAATTCGGGAATATACATGGTCAAAATCGGGAAAATTCGGGAATTACGTTTATATTGAATTTTCAAACGATAATTATGCAATTAAGTGATTCTAACAAGGTCTATGTACACTTATGACGCAAAATAATGACATTTATTAAGGTTAACATAATTGCCGAGTATATAAATATGCTGTTTGTATCCAATGTTTTGCATTGGCAATAAGCATCATATCCATAAGCATTGGTTTTATCTATTCCAGTGTAGTATTGATGCAATTATAATATTTGCTATGATTTATGCAGTATTTCTATGTTTAATATTATTGATAATATTAGCGCTTTATAATGATAAATGTTATGCTATTTATGCCGTATATTATATTCACTATTATATGAATCGGCTTAAGTGCCAAATCAGAGAGAGAGAGAGAGAGAGAGAGAGAGGTTATATGATTGATAAAATGCCCAAAATGATTATCCTATGATGCTTCAAATTGATAGTGATGAAACATGTTTTGCATTTATGTAGATCATGGCTAAGTTAGCCCTTGGAATCCAATTCCTGCACCTCTTATATTCCATTAAATTCTTTATATTTATTATACATATGTATATTCTGTATCTAAGTATAGATATAATTGTGTATTATTTATGCTAGTGTAAAATCTCTCTCTCTCTCTCTCTCTCTCTCTCTCTCTCTCTCTATTTATCGATTTATTCTCATTTCATTCGTCGCCAAAAAATTTTATGGAAATCTCTCTCTCTTCAGTGTATTCTTCCTCTCCTTCTTTATTCTGATAACAAATTTTTTATTTTATTTTATGTTTTATTACATATCATATACAAGAGAGGAGTGGAAATCCTTAAGAGCTCTGCGAGAGATGTATATAAAGGGAAAACCATTTTGATATCCATATAAATAACATATCAAATGTGTTTCCGATTTAAATCAATTTTGACTTTTCCTTTATTTCATATTTGGTATTGAAATATATGGACAGAAATAAGACATTTGCATAAAAATCAGTAAAGAAAAGGTTTTGTCAAATATTTTTCAATATCTCAGACAATAACACATTTTTTCTTATTGATAACAACAGCAGTTGGTTTGCGAATAACTTATTGGTATAACAGATAATAAACATATTATAATAAATCTTGTTTTTAATTATGATACATTGTAATTGTTGACAATTAATTGAATATTAAAAAATTTAATTATTTTGTCAAATCTTTAAATAAATAACAAAAATTTATTGTAATTATTTTTTTTTCAAATAAATAAAATAAAAATGTAAATCAAATTAAATGCCAAATTTCTAACAGAATATTCTGATAAATCGTATTAACAAATAAAAAACATGAATTTCAAATCACTCGTACATATCATTTGAAAAATGACTTTTCCTTTTGTGTAAAGAATTAATATTTATATTAATATAAAACTTATCTCTTTTGAAGACCAGAAATGAAAAATTGAACAAAAAATTAATTTCCTCTAAACATCGGTTCGGAGAGAAAGAAATTGCATTCAAATATATGCTAAATATTGATAAAAATTGAAAAATGAGTGCAAAAATAAAGTTTCAAAATTTGAAGGCTTGAAGGGTTTTGTGTGAATTTCCTCTAAACATCGGTTCGGAGAGAAAGAAATTGCATTCAAATATATGCTAAATATTGATAAAAATTGAAAAATGAGTGCAAAAATAAAGTTTCAAAATTTGAAGGCTTGAAGGGTTTTGTGTGAGAGTGAGGGAGAGATAGTGGATGGGAATGAGAGAGCGAGAGAGAGAGGGAGAGAGATAAATATTTAATTTTTTGCCATATATTAACGATTGCATTTGATTTGCAAATTGCAATATATTTTTTCTCCCAACAAATAATGTATGCAAAATGTTTTTTGTTGCGACATTATTTGCTGCATATAATGTACATATTTAATAAAACTGGTGAATTTATATAACGTATAACGTTATATTCATTGTGTACCCCGTATAGTGAACAAAAAACCTACCCTGTGATGCGATAAATTAATGTATGCACATTAGGGTAAAATATTTTTTACTTTGTTCACAATATTGTGTCAAAAACACAGACACTAAACAAAAAATTGATATAAAATAAAGCAAAAAAACTTTTAAAAACTATATAATATATATAGTCTTTATTATTCTGACGGTTAGATTTATTTCACATTATTGAAATTTTTCAAAAATGTCCTAAATTCTTGTTTATTAGCCAAGAATCCATGTTGCATTAACAATACGTTATGATGCAAATTTTTTAGACATATTTTTAATCATAATTATTATTCAAATCCATAAATATATAATAAATTAATATTAATTCCAAACGTATACTGTATAATACAGACACTTGTATTTTTGGCAGCAGTTTAAAATCCACAATATATTTAATGCAAAAATAAATACAGAATATTCTGTTTGTTTTTACAATATTAAACAGTGTATTAAAATATAATTAATTTTATTTGTATCTCATTTGCTAACTATAATTATGTTTGCATAAATTCAAGTAAGTTTTGTAATTAGTTATGATTATTGTATAATTAATTACTTTAAAATCCAGTTAAATCGGCTTAAGTGCCAAATCAGAGTGAGAGAGAGAGAGAGAGAGAGAGAGAGAGGAGAGAGAGAGAGAGAGAGAGAGAGGGGAGAGAGACTAATGGCAGCAACATTTGAAATAAACTTTAAGCCTAAATATTTTTGATAGAGAAATACCATATAATAAGTAAATATTCAAAACAGAGAAAGAGAGAGAGATTCTGAAGGAAAATACATTCAATAGTAAAAGCAATAATAAATGCAAATTATTTCAAACACAATAACAGAGAAAATCTCCCAAAAATATAAGAGAAAGACTTATTTTAAGGAGACTTTTCATCCGATAAAATACAAACAAAACACTCGTTTTATTTAACATTCATTACTGAGAAAATGCAATGCATTGTATGTTTTTAACGCTGTATATTCTGTGAGCACAATAATTTAAATAATACAATATATCATCATTATGTTATAAATATATAAGTTTAAATTATCTAGGTAAATTAATAGCATATTAATAAATAACAGTTGTACTAATGATCAGGGACAAAAAAATTAATTAATCATTGTTTTCGAAATTTTGAAGAGTATTTTTATTTGCATTTTAAAGTGTAAACATTGTTATACACCGGAGAGTAGACCGTAGTATTATTTGAAGAAAAATACATTTTTCATTAAAACTAAACATTCATTTAAATAAATGTTTGCCATTTTTATGGTAACCATAAATACATAGCATTTATATTTTGCGCACAAAATTTTCCGCAAACGAGCTGTTAGTTTATAAATACATATACGAGTGATTATAATGGATATTAGAGTTTTGGAAATTACTATATTTAATATTTTTACATTCAGTCATTCATTAAATGCAGTCAAATGGTGTTTTGTTTACGGAAACACTTTGAGTCCCAGAGAGAGAGAGAGAGAGAGAGAGAGAGAGAATTTAATGATCTATATGTTTCTTTTTAAAATGTCAATAACATTCAAATTTTTATTTAAAATTTTTACATGTTAAATACAACTAGAACGTGTAATATACAGTGCAACTTCTCCATAAGGAACGGCCAGATGCACGGCAAAAGTGTTCCCTATAGAGAGGGTTCCTCCAAGGGAGGTTCTGTTATAGGTATAGAAAATCCAGAAATATGCTTAAAATCCGTTCCTCTAAAGGAGGTATTCCCTCAAGAGAAGTTCCCCCAAGAGAGGTTGCACTGTATTTCTAAATTTATTTGCTGAATAGAATTCATTTAGTTTTAAAAATAATAAATAACTGTGTAAACTAATTATTTATATTTAATTAATTAAAATAGAAATTAATAAGAAATTCTTCTTTTAATTTCGTTTATAATTTTAAAATGCCAAATTTATAGACAGTTATATTTGCATTATTCTGTATATTTAAATTGATAATACGAGTTAGTCCTTAATATATAAGATAATAATTAATATATACTGCTGTACCATAATTATTTCAACAGTTATATACTGTACAGACTATAATT